GAAACAGCTCGTTTCCTGGACCTCCCACTAAATGACCACGGTGACTTAGACTGATCAAACCTGTGCCTAAGCGGGGTTAGCGAACCGCTACAACAACAATAGCGGCTACACCGGCTAGGTCATGTCGTCCGAATGAATGAAAGCCCCAGCTGTGACAGAATTCGATGCAGTACCCGCTGGTGGAAGCAGAGGAATAGGAAGATCTCTACTACGTTCGAAAGATCAGGTAGAGAGTAAAACAGGAAGTCAGACAACAAAGTCGTGTTTGAGCAACTAACGGACAGAACGTGTGCACCAATAAAATAAACAATTTTATTGTTGACTCATTTGAGAAATTGTCTCTAGAGTCATCTACATCAAGCCTGGCTGGCATTGCTATTGGCCATGGTGCTCTAGTTCCGCCAGAGACATTACGACTAAGATGGCTTTTGCGATAGAATATGAAGAAGAGCGAAGGCGTAAATAACTACTTAAGGTGTAAAAGTTGATTTGGAATGTCGAAGAGCCGAGGTGGAATGCAGGTGCAGCAGCAGCAACAACAGAATAAGATATCAGCAACAGTCATCACCAGGCACACGTTGCAAGAAGTCATACAAGCGAAAACCAACCACGAACGAACACAAACAATCCCAGCACACATACAACGGCACGACTCACTTTAATTTGTGCAATTGCACGGGCATGGTCGGGTTAACACGAGCCGTCGCCACCTTCGGCCCCACAAACGGAAAAGTACAAAGAAAAGCGCAACACATTTCGCACCTTGCCGATTCCCTGGTGATGAGCAAAACAAAGTAGCAAAAAAAATAAACAAAAACCGGGCTTCAAAAATTTATCTCCATAAAGAGCAAGAAAAAGGATGTGCTCATCTTCCTTGCCCCAACCCAAGCTGAACCGATGAGCTGGATGTGGACACATGATGTGGCCATGAAGCGATTGAAATGTTCGTTGCCGCAAAACATGAACGGGCCAGGAACGTGATGATAAAAAATGCATGAGTGCACATTTTGAGTGTTGCTGCCTCAGCGCCAACGCGCCGATACCCACACACAGTTGGCCGCAAAACATTCAAAAACAAAAACGGCAAGCACAAAGCAACCGAAGGTGATGTGTTGTGGCATGCGACGGCCGTAAGATGTACGTTTTTTAATGCTTACCACTACAAGTGCGAGGAACATATTCTACAAGTTGGTTTCCTTTTGCCATGTTGAACGCGTTCAGTTTGTAGTTTTCCTCATTTTTCTGCTCACGTTCCTCGATTAAATTCTCATTTCGGTCATAATTTTGCTGTTTTTACGATTGCCAGGCATTAAATTGCTGACGGCCACCAACTCACTCACACTGCAACGGTGCAATAAGTACCAAAAGTACACATATACACGTATATGTATGTATGTACGCCTGCGCTTCCTACAAAACAGCTGAAGATTGCAAATGCAGGGCTGCGACTGCGAGGGTCTCAGTAAGTTGAAAGTGCAACATCTGAAGGTGAAGGGCAAGCAAGCTCATGGCAAAGAAAATATGGCGCTGGCGGTGGAAGGACAGAAAGTGAGAAATTTATTTACTTTTTCCATGCGAAATAAAAACTTTGTGTACAATTTCTCTAATGTCTCATTTTAAATGTAAATTCCTGAGCTATATTAACGTGCATCTGAAATCTAAGAAAATAACTTGGATTTTTTTTTAAATTTTTTTTTTTCGGATTCTATAGAATAAGAAATAAATGGATTATGCGCGATAGGAGTGATCGTCCGTTGAAAAATATTTTCGGTTTATAGATATATATGTATGTAGTTTTGGTCACATATTCTGACTAAAACCCCTTGACCTGGTAAAAGGTCGCGCAAAGGGCTTGCCTAACAAACAAACTTTCCACAGAATGAAGTTTCGAAAGGTAATCATACTCACCACAACTTTCCCAGGCAGGGAAAGAACATTACCGCTTCCAAATAGCTTTTCGTAAAGGCGGTAGTAGCACGTAAAAGTTAATAGTAGTAGTGAGTTAGGAATAAATATATTTGAAAGTTTACCTTTGGTAACGTGTTAACCCTTTGTGACAATAGATTTGCCGCTTACTTGATTGAAGCGACGGTGGTTTATGTAGGAGTGGGAAAGAACTTCCCAAGTCCAATTCAAGAGCGTAGTGATCATGGAGGTCATGTAAAATATCGTCGTATCTTTCTCTATCAAGGGAGACTGAGAGAGTATTACGCCTCAACCATCGTATTCATTAGATTTGGCCATTGGGCCTTTTCTACTTTCGGAAGTATGAAGAAGAAGAAGAAAACCATGATAGTTCAGAATATTCCGAATGGCATTAAGAGCACAGCGTAATAAATAGAATATGCAATGCCTAGTACAACAGTAATTTACATATTGGGCACTATCGCAGCCACAATTTTGACGAATTGTTAGTGACAGCCTCGGCTTCGGTGCGAAAAGCGCATGAGTAAGGTTTTTTGGGTCTCTCTACAGTTTTTAAGTCACCTCGGCAATGCAAGAATTTTGCTCATATAATGCGGTATCGTAGTCCAAAAAGTTATAGAAAATTGATTTAATAAAAAATTAAGCTAAATTTTCTAATAGCGGTCGCTCGCTCCTCGATGACAACCCCTCTGGGTGTATTTCTTACATGAAATAAAGCTCGTCAAGCTTAGTATAAACTGTAGGTCCCTCCATTTACTCGAAGAATATCAAGACGCAAACCCTCAAATTGGAGGAGGAGCCTAGGCCGAAGAATCGCTACAGCGGTTGCAAAGCGTCAATTCTATATATGTCTTAGAAGGAAGTGAGCCGAGGAAGAGCCGAGAGGCTCAACCGTTTTCCCTCACCGCCTCTGAAAACAACTTTTCTAGAAAAACGCGTTTAAAGTCTTGCAAACCACTTACACTAAGTTAGACTACTCCGCATTTCGCTTCGCATTTCGAATGCAACGAGACGTCCTTTATGATACGATCATATTTCTGAGACTGTTTGTCGGATCAACTTCTCGTCAGATTTTCGGCAAATATTCTCAAATATATGAGAATACGAAAAATTAAAAAAAAATAGATTTTGTGGATATAACCCCATAAGTCACACTCCACTTCGGTTGTATTAGCGATTTTCCCGAATTTTTGGGAATCGAAATGAGTTGGCATTTTGATCTTAATTCCATAAAACTTCTCTTTATTTTCAAGCAGATTTTTAAGTTTTCGTTCTTCTGAACATGTGAGCAATGAACGAGTATCGAGCAGTGTGGGCATCTATAGCTCGAGTTAAAAACAACGAAACCAACGTTACCCACCTCCAGCCCAACCGACATAGGGACGCACCTGAAATATAATCGAATAGGCCGGTGACCGTAAATTTGTGACAATCCGGACTTACTTATATAAAGCTCTCAGGAAGTAGGGTTTTTTTCTGAAAAAAGAGTCGGAGAAATCAGTGCTGGCGGAATGAGTATTGAAATTGTAACACAAACATCTAAAGGTCTGAATGATCGTAAAGGGATGGTAAAGTTAAGCTCGCTAAGTAGGAATTTACTATTCATAAAACCTCTTAACAGTTTAGCTAAAAATATAACTCCAAGTAACGCTCTAGGGTAATGATCCGTAACCTTTGGTTTGATTTTTAAATCACAAGAGAGAGATAAAGATGTAATCTTAGTTAAGTCTTCGACATATTCGGATCATGTTTGTCATTTATTGTTGCAACAGTTGATCTGAAAAAATATGAATTAAACAAAGAATCTTCGTTTGGAGTCAGCTACGCATAAACAATAGGTTCCTCCATTCGTTGGGAATACATCAAAACGCCCACAACAAGGTGGAAGAGGAGTTCTGCAATTATAAATAAATATATATACGAAGGTATCTTATTGGGAAAAGAGCATATCATAAAAAGTAATTGATTTTAAAAAAATCTGAAAAAACTCTTATATAAAATTAAGACAAAAGAGTTGCTTAACACTCTATAGTTGTGCGAAAAAATATCAGAAAATTTTTCTTATTCTTGGTGTAACATTCTTTTCATATATATTTATTTATTTATATTTTATTGGAATACTCAATATCATTCTCAACTTTTACAGACATACGTAGAAATCTTCATTAAACAACATCTATTCATTTAACGCCTAGAGGCCCGTCAAGCTACATAAAAATATCAGACCATTAGAGAGCTGAATGGAGTGCATTATATCCATTATTATTGTATTAATTTTTTGGGAAATTACGCTTAACCGCTGGGCAAGTATCAACAATAACGACATAATTTGACGTCATCTAAACATGCTCGCATGTATTGGTTGCGAATAGCCACTTGTAACTGCTCGTATATTACCAATTTGTGTACGCACCGTGACGCATGCGCCGACACCATGCAAGCAACCAGGTAATACAAACAGAGACCAACACATATCATGCAAACAACAGTCAATCAAGGGCCCAATACATCATACCTGTTTACTTGCGTGAAGCGGGAGAGGGGGCAGTGAGCACTCACCCATCGGTTGGTGCGAAAAATACGCAGAAATGTTGCTTCGTTTTATTTATTTACACGTTCTTCGTTTAGCAAGCATACACGTACATACATATTAACATAGATACTCGCTCAATGTGTGTTAGCTTGGGAATTACCCGCGACAATTGCAATCATAAATACAACAAACAATTGAACAACAACAGAGAGAAAGCACGTAGGCTTTTATTCGGCGAAGCTTCGTAAGAGAAGGTGTCGTGAGCGCCACTATGTGGCTATCTCCGCGGGAGAGAGTGCAAAGCTTCCTTAAGCGCTTCAGACAACGAGTTGTTTGTATATTGTGGATGATCGTTAGCAGTTGACACATACACATATACGTACGTATGCAACGTATCATGAGTGTTAGTAGTTGTTGCCAATTTGCAAGGTTGTATTGGTGGTAGTGCTAGCTTTTGTTGTTATCTTCACTGTCGCCGACAGCGCTGGCTCATATAAAACCGCATGGCCATGCCACAGCGAGCTCAGTTTGATTGCAAATCTCAACCATAAAGTGACTTAACGACGAAACCAAAATAAACCCAAAAAATTGTTGAAATACTAGAAGCGAAAATATAATTCGTTTACAAAAACAATTCAAGTGAAACGGCTCAAAAAAAGTGTTAAAAACCTTTTTGCTGAAATATAGACTTTTCCAAAAGTGCTTTCTAACCAAAAATTACTCATCATGCAATACCAAAGTGCCTACAACAACAAACGTGCATCGCCAATGCGTTTCGCCTTCAGCATAGTCTACGCACTCTCACTCTTTGCGTTACTTGTGCACATCACACCCACCGCGGAGGCGCGTCCCATGGATCTTTACGACGATGTCGGCGATTTCTTTGATGCCGTCTCACTAGACGATGTGCCCGTGTCTGGCCGCTCAGCACCGGAGACCTTCTGTCGCATGCCCATACGCAAAGGTGTCTGCCGCGCGCTCATACCGCGTTTCAGCTACGATCCCAGTCGCAAGACCTGTGTGGAGTTCAAATTTGGCGGCTGTGATGGCAATGAGAATAACTTTTCCAGCTATGAGGCGTGTATGGCCACCTGTGAGGGCATGTAAAGGGGTACGTGTTTTTGTGCAGGCGCCACTGAAGTGCAAAATGTTCCTCATACGCTCTGAAATCGCCAATTGTAGGCTTCAAGCATCGTCACATCCCATCGCATCAACACCACCAACAACATCTGCAGCAGCTGTTATAATTCATTGAGCTAAATGAAAGTGGTCAAGCATCCTTTTTTGGCGCTTCCATTCGATAGTGTTCATGGCATTTATTTACTTTGGTAGTTTTTAAGATATTTTTTAAATTTTATTCGTACATTTTCTATGCACCAACGCACATCCCTCCATTGGCTTCGAAATGAAATTCACGGCAATTTTATTTTTTTTGTGATAAATTTTGGTTAATAGCTTTTAAGTATGTCATTTAACGAAGGAATATAATATTATTAAGCCGAAGAAATTTTTCAAATTTTTATCTGCTTTGGTTAAAAAATCTTCGTATTATTTATTGTGTTTGTATTTGTAGAAATAAAAAATCTCTATTGAAATATTTATATTTTTTGTATACAAAATTTGAAGATATAAGAAATAAAGTATATACATATATATTTTTATAAAATATGAAACTACATGATTCTCGATTTTGTTTTTCTGAGTGAAAGAGGGGATTTAAAAAGAGAGTCAAAGGAAATGATTTTTCACCACACAAGAATTCGATCTGATCGATAAATGCTTAAGATACTTCAGTAATTTTGAATACTATGTATGTATACTCAATGTCTTTCATCGGTGAGTCGTTACATATTTAGCTGCTCTTTCAAAGCTTAGTACATTTTTCTGCACAAGCAGAAGTTATAGAGAGCTATTGAAGATGATTTCCCAAGAATTCGTTAATCAAGTTGCATCGTTGAGAAGGGTCGCTAGCGTATTTTAATCGCCTGTCCTTTTTCACGGTATAGTGGACTGACTTATATTGACAGATGTTTTACCAGGCAAGGAAAACCACTTAATATTGGTTCTTTTAATTCGAGCATTACTTTTCCACACTGACCTTAGAAATTGTAGAGTTTTATGATGTGTCAACATAATTTCTTAATGAGCCATGTTCCGAACACACTCGTCCATATGTTTGCGTAGCCGAAATCATACTCACCTAACTAAACATGATAGCAATTCTGTGTCAATTATAGAATGGCTCCGAGCTCATATCTAAATATAGCTAGATTTGCAGGCAGCTTAATTAGAGCTCTTGATAACTTAACCAAAGCCTTGAAAAGCATTTTTCTCTTTCCTATAAAAATAATTTGCTCTTTTTCTCCTACTTCTTCTTCTTTTTTTCTACTTCTGAATTTTATTCAAGACTGGCTAAGGCTATATTTTTCGATAAGTGGGATAAGTGGGCCCCAGAATGAAGCTTTGTTATAAAGGTAAGGGTTTGCCATTATTTTTTAAAAACTCTTATATGAAAGTGACCTCCGAGGCTGCTTCAAATAAATTTTAGCCGGCAGGCCAATTTTTGATCTTATTGCAAAAATTGAGATAAAATGTCAGCTATAACGCTCCGAATATTCCCATACAAGACGCGAATATAAAAGCGAACGAGCGACCTCATATAACACCACAAAAAATAGACCAATACCGCACTTGGTCTATCTTGGACTTCACTCCACTGGCCTCTCTGCGAGATAATGTCCTCACGGAAAGATTCCTTCCATAAATTGATTATTACGTTGGCTATATCATATCACTATCCTTAAATTCTGAATCGAGAAAGTCATTAATAATGGCTGTATAGCGTTTCTCCGTTGCTTGTAACTTTATGGCTGGCTTCATTTTTGAACAATTATGGCCCAAAGATTCCCTCTGCCCACAGAGCACAACAAACAGTGACTTTTTGAGGATGTAACGGTGTCTCAATAAAGCTTGAAGTGATGATAATCCAGTCCTAATGCGACATTACTAACGTGCCAATCAGCCAAAAGTGATCTTCATCGATGAGCAAATTTGTCTTGTGAAAATCGGCATTGGCTGCCATCTCATTTTGGGCTCATTCAGCGAACGAGCGTTTGACGGTAATGGCAAGCCATGAACATAAATCAAGGAACATTTGCCAAAAAGACCAACTCAAGTCTGAAAAGCATCCTTTGTTATAAAACCCATTTTTGAATTTGAAAAACATGTGCATGCCTACATAAATACATATGTACGTGCATACATATGTACATGCGAGTATATACATGCAAACTTTAAAAGAGCAAAAAATAACTTCCTCTTTTGGGTAAACAACGGTGCGCAAAGTAATCGCGAAGATTCCACAAATTTTAATATGTCGCGAATTTTCAAAAAGCAAAAAAAAAGATAAAAATAAAAATAATACAAAAAAAAAACAAAAACACTTATTTGAATAACTATTTAAGCTTCGAAATCGAACCAAGCAAACATTAATAATTGCTGGCCATTTTTTATGTGTCGCGCGAACGAAAAGGCAAACAATAGTTTATAAATAAACATACATACATACATACATACATACATACATACATAATTAGCACAGATTTATTAATGACACATTCAACGCATACTCATACATATTTATATGTGAATAGTTATGTATAACAACACTTCCCCACATTTTTTTTCTTTTGCCACAATACTCCAAAGAAATAACTGAAAGTCGCCGAACGTGTCCGTCCGGCCGTCTGCATTGTTTCGAAGTTGGGTCTAGGCGAACCACAAAACGGATGATGACGTGAGTAAGCGAAGGCGTCAACAACTAAGGAAAGAGGTCCAACGCTTCTGCACCTACAAACCGATATTTTTGCAAAGCCATTGCGTGTGAGTGTGTGTTCATATACATATGCTAAGAGTATAGAAAATTGCAAAAATGCCGGTGGCGAAAAAACCGATAAATAACAAATTAATTTCATACATTATCAACCCACAAAGCATCACGCCAGTGTTAAAGCAGCAGCAACAACAACAACAGCAAGAGCAACATAAATAGACAGATAATGACAGCGAAACAACAAACGAAATAAAAACGGTGTCAATTTATAACAAACGCTTGGCTTATCTGCAAGAAACACGTAAACAAAAGCATATTCATTTATGTACGAATGTATGTATGTATTATATGTACGTTTGTGTGCGAACACATCTCTCGCCGGCATAACGCCCCACTGTGCCAGCGGATGGATGCTCGGCTTGTGCGTGACTTTAGCTCCGATTCAGGTTGTCGATGACAATACAAAAGCCATCATAAATTGCTATTTAACATCCAAATTGCCAACAAACAATTAACGTTGATCGATGCTACGCTCGGCTCTGCAACAACAGCAACAACAGCAAACACAAACAAATTAGGAAAGGAAGGCTAAATGTGATATGGCAATGTAAGGCACTTTTGTTGTTGTCTTTTTTCTTTTGGTAAAAGCAAATCTTGTCATACCTACAAACATGTGTGTATGTACGTGTATATGTACATACAATACAAATAACATTAACAATAAAATTACAATAATTTGATTAATTCATAGAAAATTGTAGAAAAATATGAGAGATGCTTGTTAGACGAGCAAGCAGTTCAACGACCGCCATTTCGTAATAATGAAAGGGAAACTGTTAACAACTTGTGCATACGAGTATGTGAGTGTGCGAGTATGTTCATGATTAATACATATACGGGGTGATGTCAAGATGATTGATTCGCCTCGCATAGCAAGCACCCAGTGATTTCGGTCCCACCGCCTGATCAAGAGCCATGTAACGTAATGAGAGAGCGCGTTCAAAGGGCGATGTAGAGGTCCACAAATCTTTCACGAAACCTCTCTTTGAAAACTCCTTATGCCGACTTATCGTATGGCATCATTGTTTAGCATGCTACATACGGCAAGACGGGAAAGGGGAACAACTCGTTGGGCTTGATCTTTGATCATCCAGAGTATCACCTGTCGGAAGGAGTGATTTTACATTAGGTAGACATTATCATTTATTTTGAAAAGTCATGTGGTCCTACTTATGGGTTTCAGTTGATAGACCATATTAGATTCACACTCTTACGTTCTCGTCAGGCATCGTGGAAACATGAGCAACCCCAAAAGGAGAGGAAGTATTCTCCAGCCAATGCATTTCCTCACGAAAATCAACATGGTCATAATGAAATGATAGTTTCAATGGGTGTTATTCTCTAAAACTTCAGTTGCGACAGGCCCACAGATTCTGAATATAAGAAGTAGAGGTACAAAAAGCAGAAGATTTTGTTCTTACTATCTAATTTTTCCGTTTGGAATTGAAATTCTTAGTGCAAACTCTTTACAAGGATACCAACTGGAAATGGATACTACATAGTAATGAATTACATTGTCGTGAGAATATCCAGCTAAGAATAGTTATGTGCTTACGCCTCTTTTGAGCTCTCTTAAATGAAAATGATTCTTGATCGTGGAACAAGGTGAGGCTCCTTAAATAGTACATTCTAGAACGGAACCTTTTGGAACCAGGTCGCACCAGGAACTTAACAATTATAGACGGTTGTAAAGCCGGACCCGTCATAACTCAAAAATGTCACCATTGAGATCTTTCTTACACCTAGCTCTGGTATATTTGGCCAGGAATTCATACGGCTACCTCGGTTACCAGCCTTACTTGATGATCATCAAGATCCCGATCCCGAGTGGCAGGAGCAAGAAGTCTCTAGCAAGAATTCTTAAGGTATCTGCTACGATGGAAGATTAAACTAGCAGAGCGAACAGCAGGGATGCCATAGAAATCCTTGTGATGATGGGGATCTTGAATTTCGTCTTGCCAACAGCGAATGATCTCCAAATGGCGAAGTAATGATATAGATCAGCAAAGGTCTCGGTGAGCAAGGCCAAAATAGTTAAAACTCAAGAAACATCATCCGCGAAAGGGGCAAACCGAACACTAAGAAGATGAACCAAACTGAAGTCTCAACAGAAATAGCGGGAGTCGCGCTTCAACTATTTTTGAACAAACATACAACGTCTGCTTGGACGCTGGCTCGCCTACTTGCGTGAAAGTTGCTTCTTCTTCTTATTCCTAAATCTCGGGGGAATTTTCTTCAATAGCGAAAATCATAAATACATATGTTATTGTTATTGCAATTGTTACCGTGTTTTCACTCATTTTCGTCGCCCAGAAAAACCACCGGTTGAAGCCTTCAGCGATGTCATTACACCCACCCACAGCTTGTTGAGAGTTTAAAGACCTCCGGCACAAATTTGCCATTGTTTACTTAATAGTGCAATAAGTTGCTATAAATAAACACAAGCGTCCACATGTACGTACATATGTATGTACATATCTACGAGTATGTGGAAAAAATGCAATTAGAGTGCATTGGCATTACCCCGCATAAACCCACATACTTATGATACATACATAGCAACTGGTAAACATAGTTTTCAAATTAAACGCATTTGCATATTACTTAGGAAATTCAAACATACACACATACACATACACAGTTAGATATTGGTATGCATGGAAGCGCGTTGGGCATGCAGCCAGATGAATGCACTCACTTCGCGGTAATTATCGAGAATGCTTGTTGGTAAGCAGCGCAGCTCTCAAAGGTAAAATAAATAAATATTATATATGTTTGAGTAGAAACCTATAAATACAACAATAATTCACATAAAAAACGAATTCGCAGCAACCAAAACTGTTAGAAAGACAATAAAGAAGAGCTCTCTATGGTCATGTCGAAGTCTTTATACCCTCAACGAGGTAGGTATTTCATTTCAGAATTAAATATTAATTCTCAATTCTGATAAATTTGGTTCAAGAGGATTGTATGTTATAGTCGTTCCAACTTTCAGCCCAGATGTGAAATTCAGCATACTCGTATGTGTAAGAATGCAAAATTTCACGTTCTTGGGGGGTGTTCTTACGACAAATCATTTCTAGAATGTACTTGTGCATCTGTGTGCCAAGTTTGGTTGAAATATCTCGAAAACTGGTTTGATCCGTCTATCTCTTCTCTTTCTGATACTAACATATTTCGGCTCAAAGTTAATCATAAAAGGCATAACAGAAAGCAAAAACCAATCGAACCTAAGAAATTACTCGAAAGCGATCAGACTACGCGTTTGATGAATGAGTTGGTTTATGGGTTAGAAAGAAAATAAACATTATGCGATTTAGCTATGAGCTCTTTATTGAAATAAACCGGTTTTCGGCCGAGTTTCTCCTCCAATTTGTGGTATGCTTCTACAGCTTTAACAACAAATGGAGGGGCTTTTATTACATATTTATTTTCTATTAATTTGGATGTTGGTCGTACCAATACTCGAACCCTGACTATATATGTATATATTCGCTCGAAATCAATCGAAACTGACAATCATATCTACCACTGGACGAGATTTTCACTCATTACCTCTTGGCGGCGGGCATTTTTCACAGATTCTCAAAGCAAATGGAAGCAAATTAGCCAAAGTATGCAATAGCCAATGCAGCTGAGCACATTCTTAGCATGCAAAAAGCGTTGCTCATGCGCATAATTGCCTTTTCTATATTTTCTTCTTTTTCTGTTATTGGCTTACTTTTTTATTTGAATTACAAGTTTTTATGCAGTATTTTTCTTTTTTCTTGTGGTTACAATGGAGAGGAGAGTCGATCGATGTTGGTAAGGCAGGAGGTCAATGTACTTATGACTTCAATTTAGCTCCTGCCGGTATTGAGTTCGCTGTGTGTGTGTGAGTGTAGCCTATCAACTTATTTAATTAAATGTATGTATTGTGTGTATATAAATACATATGTATAATTATTTCTTTCTAGTTTTCCCTTTACATTTTGCGGTGGCGTTCCATATACCGATCTACCAATGGAGGACAAATGTGTGTGTGTGTGTGTGTGTGTGTGTGTACATATGGAATTGTTCGTAGCCTTTGTTAGAGGAGACGGTTTATTACAAAGTTACAAAACTAAAAACACCTTTTATTTTGTGCATGAGTGTACGAGTATATTTATTTATATAAATATAATTTTTACACACCTAGATTTGAGCTTGTGATAGCAAAATAGCTGATAACGAAGAGATGATTAAAAGTAAACAAAAGTGGCTGTATCTATTCGAAGCGTAGTAAATGTGTATATGTACAAGTATGTACATAGATATATGTATGTCGGCAGTTATTAGAAAATACATTTAAGTGAGTAAATTTTCGCACAAACCGTTGGGAATTCAAATATTTTTTTCAAACATAAACCCAATAGATAGGCTTGAAGTTCATGCGCTCATATTTTAGAATGCCGTAGCAGCGACAGCAAGGGATTTTCCTGTAGACAGGATTTTTTAATGAAAAGCTTCTTAAGCACCGTACTTTCAGCGGTCGTATTTTAACATTTAAAAGCTTTTAGGTTGATGTGTTTGATTTCTATATTAAAAAGCTCTCTTACTGTATATGTATTTATAACAGTTATACAACATCTGTAGTTGAGCTTAAACTGAAAATCATAGCTTTTTCCCATGGTTTTGAGTTGAGGTACAATTATTTTATGCATCATTAAGAACACACCATCAGTTTCAATTGTACATAGCTTCTGTTTTATTACCATTATTTAATATACTTAACTTAAATATAATTTCTATATGTTCCACATTTTTATTTAAATCAGTTTTTTACAATGAATTGCCACGTGTCCGTGTTAACAAACAGCATACAACACTAACACAATATTTTTTATAAACATTTCGTGTACATAAAACTTTTATTTATTTTATTTTTTTTTTTGGTAATATATTTTTTTATTTTGGTTACAAGTGGACACACCGCTAGCTTGCTAAGATTGCAAGTGAAACGTAAATAAAATAATATATAATAGATTTATTTTTTTTTAATCAATTTAATTCTTTAAACATATTTATACTGCATATATATGTATTATATATATATAATCTATTTTCCTTAACATACATAGAATGTAAATATCAAGTTTCAATGTATACATACATACATGTATGTGCATTTAAATTTATATCGATAATTCGTTTTGAAATTATATGGTTATTTTATTTCAAACACACGAAATATTTGTATTTTAGGATTTTCCCATAATAAGAAGTTTTGTATGAATGCAGTTAGTTTGAGTTGCTTTTTTGCATTTGGTTATATACAGTTGTATTGCTCATTGTCGCTCAAGTATAATTTGCATTAAACTTTTTCAGATTTAATATGGTACTTTGATTTATTCTGTTATCTTGCGCTTGCGCATGCGTTGGCTTATTTCAAACTTAAAAATTTCCTAATGAAGTTGCCAATGTTTGTGTATCGCGCTTTCAATAGTATTTTTATATTTAAATAGTAATTTTCAAACAAATACAATACCATTTGAAGATTTTTGCCTTAAATTCAACACAACGCATGGCCAATTTGATTGATTTGTCATTTTGTATAGGAATAGAAAAAGGAAGAGTTTTTAACAAAGCTTTAACAAAGTAAAATTTTTATAAACAGCTAAATTGAACAATAAAAATACAGTACCTAAAAGTAACTAGTTTATTTTTCCCATTTTTTATTTTCAAAACATTTAAAATGGCGTATGTTCGTAGAAATGAGGAACCGAGACGCGAGCACAAAAACGAATTAGATGGAATTAGTCGACTTACGCTAAGTTATACTACACTAAGCTGATTCTAGCCCTTTTCATCAAAACTATTACTATCGTAATCATCATTACCAATTGCATCTCCCTTCTACAAAAACTCTTCTCACAATAGGTGTATCGCAAGTGTTGCCTCTGCTAAGTGTTACTCTCGTTTGTGGGCCTATCGTATTAGCATTGTATCTCTGTGGTCACACCTTTAATACTTTCGGAACTAAAGTGCACGCAACCGTATTTGCACACCAAGGTCCAGACGTATGGAATGAAAAATTCTTCAGGCGCATCCTCCTCCACATATTTGAATTTCAGGTCTGGGAATTTCTGTAAAACACGTCACAATACTTCTGATTACATTTTTCTAAATAATTTTCAATTTATTTACCCGCAGGCGATCACTGGACCACTGGCTAGCACCCTTGGATATCACCTCGAACACCTCACTAACTCCCAATTCACCGCGTTGCTCTTGCACACGCTGCAAACGCGATGAAAAGAAGCCAACAACCTGAAAAGTAGAAAAAAAAATGTAAAAGCAACAACATCAATAAACACAAACAATTAACTGTCATACCATATCAATATTTTGTATTATGTCTTGAAAAGCATGATGACTTCGGAAGCTTTCGAAAACACTGCGCTTATATAGTAGTGTGTACACGAGGTTCGGACAGTAAACCAATTGATTGGATAGACAGGAGTTCAATATTTCCAACACCATTCGCAGCACCTCCTCGAGTACGGTGAGATCTTGTAGCATATCCTCGGGTGTTGTGGTCACATTTACGGAAACTGCATTATTGACAGGCTCCTTTAACTGTGCATCAAGACGGGTATGCTTGCGCGCTAATGTTTCGAACAGAGAAATCAGTCGTTGCGCTACATATGGATGTAGTGCGCGAAATTGTCCAGACATATTCGCCAGCGCAGCCAAACAATTTGTATGCAAATATTTATCGCGCATTTTCAACATATTATATTGTATGGTACGTATTACAACCAATATGAGTAGGCCGCCTAGTGATATTTCCGATATGGTGCGCTCTGTGTACCAATGGATATTTTTAAGCATCTAAAAACAAATAAGCATGTAAGAAAACTTCATAATACAATAATATAATATACAATATAAAGAATACAATATAGAGCCCATATCCACTTCGAAAGAGGCTGAACTCCGAAATATTTCAAATGGTGTTTTTTTTTAATAATCTACATCGGAAATAAAATTTCAAGGTTGTCTCCTCTTCATTGTTACTATATAACTGGTAAAATACCCTTCTCTGTTTTATGTTCCTCTTAAAGCATTAACTACCAAGTGTTACGAGTTTTTGAGTTGTGCACTTTTGAAGTGGAGGTTTTTTCCCTTGGCTTCACTTACAATATTATGCACGTTTTTATTAAAACTATCATCCTCGCTCAATATAAGCAGCACAATGAGTGACATATAGATGTGATGAGAGGTACTATCCGGTGCATGATACAATGTCTGCAATATTGGTATAACCAAGTTCTCCAAATCATTTTGCGCCATTACAAAACGATAGAAACGATCATTTCGATGTAGCAAGAGATAAAGTAACAACGTTGCCTGGTCGATGGTCACAATGCGGCATAAAGTTTCGTAAACCGAAGAAAAGTCGATTTGAAAGGAAGCGCCATCTTTTGGTGAGTCTTTCGAATCAGCACAGTTGAATAAACTAGCACGATAAGGGTTATCCTTCGTGGTGCAGTGATTTGTTAGTATAAGAATGAGGAGAAGACTTTGATTGGCAAGCGGATAGTGATCCCGAAACTGTTGCGAAAGTTCAACGCCAGTGACGCCAGTTGCTTTCAATACATCCTGTTGTTTGCGAAAAGTGAAAATCGATAGCAAGGATTCAGCGATTCCGAAAACGAAGGAGCCAGACGATGAAGAACCGAACATGGTGTGAGGTACCTCTACCATTCGAGCTACAAAATGTAGCAGCGAAGAAACAAGCACGTTTGCATGCTGACATTTGAATATAGTTCTGAAAGCAAAGAATAAATTACAATCGGATTTGTGAAGTTGAGTTAAATGTTTACCTAAAAATTATTGATTTATCTGTGGGTTGTTCGGTGAAGAGATGTACGGATAGCAACGTGATGAAGGTATTCACAACTTCCAAATGCAAATGATATGTGAATTCCCTGAAAGATTGAAAGCATATCACTATGCAATATATACATATATATTTAACAAAAGCTATCAGTACTTACTTGACTGGAATCACTACAATTATATTAACAAGTGCATCAATGAACGTTTCAAATTTTGCGCCGTCTACGATCACTGCTGCTCTAGCAAGCATATTTCCAACACCATCTTCGGTCGCCTCAACAGCGATTGTAGTAGCACCGTCAGTATGAGCGCCTGCGCCTGCTTCGGCTTCCGCCCGCAACAGCTCTGCATTTGGTATGGCTTCAAAATGTTGTAACAACTGGAACTCAGACCCAGTCTCAATTATATACTTAATTAACGTTCGTATAATGAAGAGTGCATTAAATGTCTGCCATATGTGCACATTACTTTCCTTATCTGACAACGAGAGCAATTCAGATGCTTTGAGTAGAAAAACGGTTACCAACGAACCCAAATTTCCTGTCTTTAAGTTGTTACTTATGAAAGATTGACAAAGGGTCTCCAAACGTGAGTCCAAGTTTAACTGGTCTTGGCTGAAGAAAACATAAATAAATAGGGCTTAACAAACAACTGTTCTGCGAGGGTGGAGTGCACACGTCAGCTTTTCATTGACGTTCACTCACCTATCTTCCGGTATTGTTATGTGATAGTTCAAAAGTCCACTCCAATAAGATTCGACATCTGGAGCAATGTGTCCACGTCCAACGAAACGCTGTAGAAGTTCATTCTCCGAGAGATTAGCTTGCCTGCTGACGTTGATCCCCATAATTTTGTTGGTTTTACGCACAGAGAACAAAAGTGCTGTCAACGTCGTTTATTACCGTTGTTGATCTGGTTTTGCAGTCGCTAATGTCAACGTCGTGAACGTCGTCAATAGCCCTTTGCTATGCAAATGACTTTCCACTTTCTTTCACTAGTTCACTTTTAACTAAACATCCGGTTATCTGCCCGCTTTCAGGGATTTAATTAAAAAATTAGTTTGGAAAATGAACTTTTGTTTCTTTCTACAATATTTTTGATATTTTTCTGACTTTGTCGGCGAATTTCAGAATTGATGTGTAGATATGAAGAGCGATGTTGCCAGAAAAATAGAAAAGAAAGAATTATTGCGATTTGTCTTAAGAGAGAACGTATATCAAAGAACGTATACTCATAAGGGAAAAATTCGAAGCCATTCAAAGAACGTACGTTCTCTGCATGAAACAAAGGACCGTATAATAATCAACGGTCTCTGATAAAACTCTTGGTTCGTGCATTTGCTAACTTGAAAATTCAACTGTAACCATTTTTCATTTTTTCAGCTGTCCAGGTTAAACGGATGTAAGTTTTCGAGTAAATTGCAATTGGTCAAAAATTGTAACCAAGTCTGAAACCGTCAGCAGCATGTACGGTGACTATATACCGCAGCCATCGAATCATGTGATTGATGAACCTTTAAAATTATTCCAATACAAAACACACAAATTTTTATTTTTAAACAAGAATATGTATATTATGTATTTCGTTTAAGTATGATCATCAATTCAACTACAGTCGAATTAGAAGTTTTATTTATCATACACATCCGTCCTGCGTCCCTTAGATTTACAAAATTCTGTAAAATTTCATATTTGCTATTTATATTTTTTCTAAAATATTTATTATTAAATATTTGGAAATTATATTGATCCCACACACATACTCTTGTACAAGAGGAAAATAAAAACATAAAAATATAAGTATGTATGCAAATATAATGCAACACTATTAATTCAGAATAAATAAATTTACAAAATATAGATGTTAAATATACACTACGTATGAAAGATTTTTATTACATAAAGTACTTCTGCTATGCGTGACGCAAGACGATTGCATTAGTATCACATAATTTCAAAGTGCAAAGTGCGTCATTTAGCATACAAAATCGAAATCATATAAATTTCATTTGCAGTTTAAGACATATTACATTATTAACATAAAGTTATAATTTCCAAACATACGTATGTATGTACTTTTGGATTACAAAATTAACTACTTTGTTGATTCTGGCAATCCGTTGAAGATCACTTGCAAGATGCTTAATAATTTTCGTTTTCATGTTTTTTTTTGTGTGTTTGTTGTATTAAATTATAAATTCTCTACTATCCGTACAACAAAATCATAAGGTTCTTGATGTTGGTTTTCAAATAATAATGAAACACGATGAAAATTTATGAAGAGTACATTCACAATGTTGATTTTATATAGGTATGTGCCATATAATGAATTTGTGCAAAGTTTTATGTTTAGAGCTAAATATTTAAAATTACATAAGTATGCATAATATACTATGTATATATATTAGAAATTATATACAACTATGAACTAAATGAATTAAGGGAAGTTGGTGTTGTTTGCATAAATGAAAACGATGATTACTAAACGACTACAATTCAAAAATTAATCATAGCTTTATAGCTGAAGGTATGGAAATTAGTTAAGGTTAAACGTTAGCATTAAAGTATGCATTGTTGAATTCCGCTCTCAAGTTGTTTCATCGCTTTCACCACATCTATGAAAACGTTTGCTTGGATGACAAAATTTATAATTGTACACAGCCAAAACACTTTCATTTTCTGTTGTTTTCTATTTTTATATTTTCATTTTTTTTATTGCTGCAACGCAGTCTGATCTTGAGTTAATCTCCCTGCATATTTTCCCCTCCACATGGGTTTGGTTAATAATCCTTTGCTTCCTACAATCCAGCTTTTACATATTAACTGCAATTTGTCAATTCTTCACTCAAACTCACGTACAAATGTGTTTAGCATTGCTTATAAAAATGTTTAATTTTCTTATTCAAGTTCATTTTTCCATTGTTCAACTCCTCGCTTTCACATTTCAATCATATGTGTTACTTCAATCTCCCCACTGCTTTTGGACTCTGCTCCCTCTGCTCCCTCTGCTTCTGCGTCTGATTCAAATTGATAATGATTTTTAAACGAAGTGCCATTTTATGCGTATTTTTATTTAAAGTTTGCGCAGCGTTAGTGCAGCTTCGGATGATTTATTAGCTCCGCTGCTGGCCAACATCTGTTTCAAGCTAAACGAAGAGATGGCGATTCCGAAGACGGCCATCATCGTAGCGGAACGTGGAACAACGCGGTCAGGAGAGGCTGTTGTGAAAACACTGCTAGCGGACTGTGTTGAGGCCTGCAATGGTACATAGAGAGTAGAGCAAAATCTCATTAAAAATCGGTTTATAAAAATGTTCTACTCTTAAACTACAACTGTTTGCAGTAACTAACTTTCCTTACCAACAAATATGCATACATACAAAAGCTTAGGGAAATTAAGTATATTATGTAATGTAAACAAAAGAAGTATCACAAACACTTAATTGATAAGATAAACGAAGTTAAGTAAAAGTGGGTTGATCAAGGAAAGAAATTATTGCCCGCCAATAGTCGTTATCGCTGTACGAGTATTAATGACTTTCATATTGGAGAATTTAGCATACGCCAAGGAAATTATCCAATATTCGACCATTCGAATATTAAGAGCTTTTCTGCATTTATTCTGTTCGTTAATAAGTATACGAAAAACACTTCCAAAATGCAGAAACGGCCAATGTCTACCAAATCATGGCGAAGTTTTCGGTTAATTTTAGTAACAGAATTTGCATAAACAAAAATAATAAAAAAAAAGAGAACGTGAAGAGCGAATTTATTGGCATTATGCCCATTAGGTGCTCACTAAAAATAAAAACGACATACATATATACATATAGTATGTTAGTGAGGAATGCGCAAATAAATGTTTTATTTTTCGAATCAAGTTCAATTCTAACAAACTACAACACTTCCTATTCGCAACAACTGCAAATAATTGCTAAGGAAATCAAAACAAAGCAAAATGATTTTGCAAGTCAAACAAAAAACATACTAAACGAGAAATCGTTTGGCGCCGTTCAATGAACTGATAAATCTACGCAAGTCCCTCAGCAATAACAACAACAACTCACATGCTATACGAAAGCAAAATATCAGGTATTTGTGAATCGACCAATTCTATCTCCAAGCCAAGGGGGAGCGCCGTAAGAATGTTTGTTTAGACACCAACGTTGGTGTTATCTTTTACGCGTCCATTTCTCGGTTTTTATTTTCATATAAACGCTTCTAAGCGTACGCCGGTTATGTAAGTAAATATGGCACAGGTTGTGTCGTATATGCGTTGTTCACAGTACTCTTAAGTACTAAAAGTAAACTACAAAGTCTTATTATTCGTACACATGTTTTATGATTATATATGTATGGCTCTGTAGTCGTAAACACGTACAATTAAAGATACTTGGATTTGATATCAGAATTAAAATAAAAAAAGCACTTTATAGCGAAATATGCGCTGTCTTCAGCAAGAAAGTCTTATCTTCAATAATGTATATTTTATAAAAATAGAAAGAATAACAAGCGCAAATACTAAGATGATGAAAATATTACTCGCGCTAAATGCGCATTTTCTAGCAAACTAATCTACGCATTGCCAGCGCTTAAATGAAAATGTTTTTGTTTTGTTTTGGTTGAAAAATATACAACCTAAAAAAATATATACGCCGAGGATAAGCTTGCTGGAAACCACCTAAGCGGTTATAAAGCGCCGTCAATTATTCATATATTTAAAAAATTATTTAAAAATCCATACCACTCCCGTTATCGGGTGTCAAAATTAACAAAAACCACTCACACGAAAGCTGGTGACGTCAAAACAAGAAATAATCAGTTGTTGCTAGTGACGCTGACATCAATGAAATGAGCTGATAAGAGTTGATAGTTATTTTTAAACAAAAATTTAAAACTAAAAAGAAGATAGTTTCATGAAACTGTTCATTGCATTGAGATTAACATTGTTAATGGAATTTTCTAGTTACAACATATACAACCTTGTTGTGATAAAATCTTAATTTTTTAATAAAAAAAAAAAATAGTTAATTTCACCATAGAAAAAAAAGTATAAAGAGATTCTATACACGAAGAGACGTTAATTGTTTGCCTTCAAAATTCAGCACTTAAGCAAACAAAAATCGTGTACTTCAACATCGACATTCTTTATAATGACTTATTTTTAATCCAATTGGAAACTGCGTCAATGAATCGCATGCATCTTTATACATCAGATATACAATTGTAACAGCTCCAGACACATAATTAATATTTGCATACGTATGATTTGATGTCATTGCTTCGCGATTAAACGTGATAAACAGCAAGCAGACTAACCTATTGAACACCCTACATCAGAACGTTTCTTTCATTTCATATTTCTTCTTCTTTCTTCATTATCTTTAATTATTAAAAAAGAAATAAAAAAAAAACTGATTTTTTTTTTTATAAATATCATGCAATGGGAGCGTGCCAGGTACCATCAGACTTTGCAATCAAAAGAAATATGGATTAAAGTAATTATTGTATATATTTTACTCATGAGTATTATCAAACATTTTATATTGATAAACTTATGCTTATGAGGTTTTGTCTTATCAATATATTTTTATAAATATAAGTTCATTTTAATCTAAGATTTTCGTATTTGAATAGCAAAACATATGTGCATATACATATTATACTCGTATATGTTCAGACATGGTATCATTTACCAATTCAGCCCAACACATTCATTCTTTTTAAACTGACCTATCGCAAACCCAAATTATTTTCAATGCTGTCGTATCGAAAAGTATACGTGTTACTTTTCTGCCAAATTATTTATTCACTTCTGGTCTTAAGCACTTGTAGCACGTTTACTAAACTGCGTCCACTTCCAATATCAAGCTTTTGTTGGCGTTTTCTACGTTCTAATGACGTTGGTTTTGTGCGAGTCTTTTGAAATTTTTCACGATTTATTCGTAAAGCATCAAAGTAACGTGATATGCGTACTTTGTTTTCGCTATTCGCGGTAGATGACTTCTTTGTTTCACAGATTGTTTGAGTTGCAAGCTGATTGGGTTGTAATGGCTGAACATATTCTGTTTTTATAAGTTCCAGAGAATTTATTGCGACCTTTGACGTGTTTGTGACGTTATCTTCATTCTGAATGTTAGAAAATCCCGCTTTAACCGTTTGTATGCATTGTATTTCAATTTGTGGCTTATTCCCTTTTTCCACCTTCGGCAGTGGTGGTGGCTCCTTTTCAGGTTGTGTATTTGAGAAGTCGAAATTTAAGACAGGCATATCATGCAGTGGTGTTGTGGATTCATTTTGGAATTCATTAATGCTATGATTGGGAAAGGTTTCAGATTTACAATTACTAAGTAATGCGTCAATGAAACCAGCACCTTCAGTTTGGTCATTTTTACGTGTTGTGTAGAATGATGGTGTAATCGTCTCAGACTTAATGAGAAGATTCTCTAAACTATTGTCAAAGGAAGTTAGTGTGATAACGGGTTCGGCTTGTGTTGAAGTTTTTGCTGCCTCTTTTAACACATCGGACTTCCCAACTAGATTACTATTACCACAACAAAGTAGTGCATCCACAAATCGCACACTAGCTGCGTCATCGTAGCCACTACATGAATTTAACTCTGTGCAAAAGCTTTTATCCTCTGAAGTTTTCGGCTCTTCATCAGAGTCAGAAAAATCGTTTTCATAAGGATATATACATTCCCAACTTTCACATTTAATGATTTGTTCATTTATATCAATGCAAAACGTACGTAAGCGACGGCAAAAACCATGTTGCTGGCATTCAAGGCAGATATCTCCAGGTTGAAATGTGCTCTGCTCCATGGTGATTTAAGGGATGAGTGAAACTCAAAGGGTGAACTGTTAAAAGTTTGAGAAGTTTGATTGTGTTATATGATAGAAAATGTAATGTGTCGAGAGGTCGTATGAGCAAAACTCAACTTGGTATAGGAACGTTGCAACCATATAGAAATATATGGAATAAAAAGGTATCGATTCATAACTTAGTTTTTAATATTTATATATGAAAGAGGGTAATGCGACCACTTCTATACATTTTTACCATAGAAAATTGTGCTCGCATCTCCCTCTACACAATATTAATAATGTTGAAAGATTATTCTGGCACTCACCTGTCCGAAAGTCATACGAAGCGCATATTGAGCCACACTTGAAGTTCTCATTTTCTACAGGAATTTAAATTTTAGTAATTTACTCCGCACGGAATTGCAAAACTAAATCGAACTGAAATATACACAAGAGAAATGCATAAACAATTATAAGAAGTTATATAAAGATACTAAGCCTAAAACATATCTTTTGTACAAGAAATCACTGTCTAACTAGGAAGTTTTGATTTGACTAGAAACACCGACCTTTCAGTCAGACTAAGCGACCTTGTGTTATTAGTAAATCGATTTGTCTACTGCAGTGTGGCGCCGAGCTGATTAACACAAAATCACTGCGCAGGTTACGACTTTCCATGTTTTTTACTCCTACTGACACTTTTACGGTCATTTCCTTCACCTTAACTTGCTTACATAACAATGAAATCTTTTATAAGGGACCACAAGAGGGCGACGGTATGCGGCACACAAATCTATTTAAGATCTTATTTGCATTAACACTTACATTTATTTAAATATTTGTTATTCTATTGCTTCGGATGCGTCGATGTTACTGCAACTGTTGTTTTACGTTCACAGATTTTATTGAAAATTGAAATTGAAATTACAACCGCAAAGCAAGAGAAAAATCTATTCGCGTGCAGCATATAGAAAATTTTCTAGAGAAAAGAAACGATCCTATTCAGGGTTGCAGCGGAATCCAAATATGTGTCCGCTCTTTGACGTTTCGTTTCGTAAACTCTTGGCTGTTTAATTATAGATTTTTAGTAAATTGTTAGCAACGAAGTTTATGAACATGATATATATAATAATAATTATAATAATTAAAATTGTAGAAAAATCAATGCCGATTTTTTATAAGTCGAAGTCTTTGAAAAGATACCAATAAATACATCTCTGACGGTGAATTGTTCAGCAATCACAAGTTTCAATATTTAATATATTTCTTTAAAATAAGTTAAGATTTGTAGCTTTGATATTTTCTACCTTCAATAATGCATAATGGTCTGCTTATTCCAAAATTTTACATATTTCCAAAATCTTTTTCAGACGAAAACAATTCATTCAATACATAGCTGGCAATGTCATTTTATTACCGCATCCAACTTAACTCGGTGTTGAGGTGTTTTCGCAGAGAACGTATATATTCTACGTTCTCTGGCTTTCGGTCCTGTCAATTTTATCATATTGTTACGATTTTACTAAATCAACCTCGATGATTTCCTAAATCCTTCGGGTACGATCTCTGGATTGTTAAATAAAAACTCGCCAACTTAATTTGCAGTTTCTTTCGTATAAAGATTTTATCTAATGTCCTTTATTTACTCCGTAATACACAATTCAATTACAAGGCACTTTACTAGCTACAATCACTTGCATAAACTTTCACCATTTACTCTACTTAAATGTAATTCCCGACGCGTTTACTTTACGACTTAACTGATGTTAACGCCAACGAGGTCACTTTGTAACTGACTTGACTTGCAGCTGAGTGCTGCCTTTATATAGCAGTCGGCTGCTCGCAGACGAAAGCGTAGAAGCATCGAATTGTTCGCTATGGAAGGTTCTTGTTTTATCGTTTCTAGAACGTACTAGTTATCGGCTTCTCTCTTTCATCTGACATTCGCCTCGCATTTTCGCAACAATATAAAACTCGTGTAGCGTGAAACTTTACGAAACATATAAATTAAAGAATCAATACTTTCTACGTAACTTTGAACCACATTAAACTTTTAATATGGCTTTACCAGTCGGCGTAAAGGAACGTTTAGAAGTTGTATATGATGTTGCGAAAACCACTTTTCATTGGGGTTTCATTCCAATGGTTATTTATTTGGGTAATTTAAATTTTGATTACCCAAGAGTGGAGTTTTGTTCTGATAACAAACATTGTTTTTATTTTTCAGGTTTCCGAAAAGGCGCTGAGCCCGGTATGCCACCACTGACGCTATTCAGCTTGCTTTGGCAATAACTGCGTAGTTGACTCGCTTAAGGGGTGGGATTCATAAATTTAAAATTACAGAAGTTGCAAATAATTTGTATTAGTAGTGACGACTATGTTATATGACTATGTTATAAATAAAATTGGAAATTATTTAGCGGTTTACTTCTAAAAAGGTATTTAAAAAAATTATTGTATTCTCTCGGACTTACAAAAAACTTTTTGTGATATTTTTTCGAGATTGATCGACTGGTTGAAAAAAATCGGGTTCCGGCATGATAACGTAATTGTCGCTGACCTGACTCATTAGCTTTATTTTTTTCCTTCTATAAAATCATGGTTGAATCAAAGTATGCAAATTTAACCTGCTCACAAAGGCTCTATATGTATTAACCCTTCAATTGTATTCGAAGAAATTTCGCACATTTAAACAACACTAGGTTTGTTTATTGAGCTCATGTTCAAGCAGAATAGAGCAACTGCCAAAAAACAATAATTCTCAAATGGGAATGTTTGACTTTTCTGTTGTAAACAAAATGGAAAATTTTTACGATTTTTCTCATATAGTTCTTAGTAAAATTTATTATTTTATTTAAGTCGTTTGATATGCCCCGTGAACATCCCTTTCTTAAATTTTGCCCGCTTTGGTTTTCTAAACTCGCCTGTCAAAGATAACCTTATTGCAAGTTAATCTACCAAAAAAGTCAGAGCAGAAAATTGTGATCTGAGTTGCTCTATTTCTGCTTGGAGTAGACTTATAAAACAAAAATTAGAGCTAATAAGAGCAAAAAAGTTTTCGTGAAACACAATGTTTTGAAATGGAGTAATAGCCTATATCCACCAAACACTTAAATGTATTTAAAGCCTCTGTTAAGTGAATGAAATCTCAAACGTTTCCACCGAAAGTGAGTTAACGGCTGATTTTTGTTTACATTTACAGTATGTGAAATTTGACATGAATTGAAGAGATCGCATTCATTTTATTTAGCTACTTATGCCGTCTTATGATTTGCGAGTGCAGGTTATTCCCGTACGTACAAACGTTGCTGAAACGAAAATGCTTTTATGCATGTTTCTATTTTCACACTTGCTTACTTGTTCCCTCAAATTATTTATTTTTCGCAATCAGCTGATAGCAGCCAAAGCCACGTATATTTTGATGTTGAGGGGATCATTTGATATTTCACAATTGCTCTTTGTTTGTTTAGTATAGTTTTTTTTTTTGAAGGAGGAGTAGCATTCCCTTCGAAAATTACTTAAAATATGCATTTCTGTTAAAACTAATGCAAAAAAGTAGTTTTTACACAAAAAATTTCACCATGCAAAATATAAGTCTGACCCCTCATTAAATCCGAAAATACACGACTCTGGCAAGAAATATACCAAAACTTCCGAAATGTTTACATTAGTAGTGACAGCAACTACTGTTAACATAACATTTACTGCTAAATTACCGAAAGTGAGTTAACTAACTTTGAAAAGTGAGTAACTTTTATACAAAAACAAACACATGGGAATGATGTTTAAATGCATTTAACGTCTGGTGGAAATAGGCTATAACCCGGCGTAGTATAGAGCAGCTTAATAAACAAACCTGCTTTCACACATGTTCCTATGCTCTTTCCGCCTGGGGTTAAAATCGAATTTGCATTTACGAAAAACTAAACTGTCTCCTCTTGAAGTTCATAAAATAATTTTGCTGTGGTAACACTAAAGAGAGAATGGAGCTAAATAAAATGTCAAAAATTAAAAAATGCTGCCACTAGATAAAGAAATTCTTACTTCACCCTATCTTTTAACAAGGATCTTTTTCATAGTTTATAGTATACTATATAGGATAAGAATATAAATAAATAATTACTTAATTTTTAGTATGGCTAACGAATCACTTAACCATAACTTATTAGGAAAATTTTATTTTAGTTAATCTGGCAACACTATGCATATGTCGACTTTGTTTCGGCTGCACTGGTGGTTCTTTCGTTCCTTCGTTTAGAAATTTTCGCGCAAACCGTTCACGTAAAATTTCGCGTAAACATGCTAAAATTAATACAAATTTTTAATCGGAATAAAATATAAAGCCACAATTGCTGTGTTGAATATTGAAAATACTTTTTCCTAGTAAGAATCACGTGACAAATGTACTGCAGCATCAATTGAGGAGTGCAAACCATTTTTTTTCTCTAATTAGAAGTAGAAGGAAGAGCAAATCGTTTTTGCTGTGAATGTACAAAGTGTAAAGAGTGTGATAAAGCAATGGAGAACCCAAAAATATTGCAATAACAATACTGAACAATATACGGTCAAAGTGTACGAAAACGGAACACGAGTATATAACAATTCATTCATAACAATTACAAAGTTTTATTTTTTATATTATCAATCAATCAAAATGATTAAGGGCGATGTGCAAAGTTTGTGAATCGTTTACGGAAGACTAAATGCAATTTATCTACTCGTCGTTGCTTGAGCCGCCTCCCATTTCGGTGGAGCTCTATATACTCCAACTGCTCATTGTTAGCACATGTCAACAGCAGTTCTTTAAAAGCAACACCAAATCCAATATTATCATTAGTTGTACCAAGAGCCATTGCAAGACGCAAATGCTAAAATTTGTGCAGTCCAATAAAAATTAATGACTACATATTTTATTGGACTAAAGTGTAGTATATTGTGAGACAACACTGTAATTTAACTGGAAGGACAAAAAAACTTCCATTAACCAACGAAATACATAAAAAATGAATATAAACAAAAAGGTGATGTCCGGAGTGCGTCGACAACGAATACCATTTCATCTCGTAGGTACGGTCACCTTTTCTGAATCATCATCGACTCTACAAGCAGAGCAATGTAAGAATCCACTTAAGTCGTGGCCTCTATATGCTGTAACGGTTTCCTTAACAATCCTGTTATTACTGGATTTCCAAACGATGTCAGTTGCTGGTAGGTACAGTATTGAGCGCTCCGATTTCAGTATTTAAACAGCCTTCCTTTTAGCCACACCTATCGAAATTGTGTTTAACACTACGCGTAACTCACCATATTTGGAAACAGGAGCAAATAAGTGGATAGCACATTCTAATAATTATAATAATGCTGCCATGGGAAGTGGACGTAAAGGAGCTGATCGTCGCCAAGAGAACACGATAGGACCTACACCGGCAATTTCATCATCTGGAGAAATGATTGTCAGTAACAATACTATTAACAGAGATGGAAATTTACCGCTGGTAGTGGTGCCTCAGCAGACGACGGTAGCAGCACCTTCATTGCATCAGCTTACTGGACACACCAGTAATAGTAACAAACGAGAGAGTAAGAAAATGTTGGAATCAAATTTATATACATATTTTTGAATATGATTTTCGGTCAACACAGTGTCTTTTTTAGAAGCATAGACCAATTGTTTATGAAAAAATCAGAAGTCGGAAGTATGTTTGCCGTAAAAACAGTAATATCCGTAGTGTACCGTAGATGCTCTGAATATAATAACAATATATTTTGATTAATTCTATAAGAGCTTCCCGTGTGCTAGTTTTAAAATAATTCTAAAAATGACTTTAAATCAGTAGATAGGCTTCTTTTGTGGTTGATTCTAATAAAATAGTTAAAATAAAACGCTGAAAACTGAAAATCCATTCGTTAAAAGAAGCGCCAGTGCATCACATTCATTACAACTGCCACACATACTCCACTAATTACTAATATATGTAACTGTGCAAAAAGTTTAGTTCAACCGTTTCCCTGCCTCTACTATACTCTTATTGCATGAATTATTATTTTTGGAAAAGCGACTCATGTTTATCTAAATTACATGCAAGATATTAGCATTTTCGCGCACGCTATTTGTAGCTCCCTTGAGCTCTACCATTCCACAAGTATATTAATCGGCAATAAAGTAAATAAATAGTATTCTTAAAACTGATGGCAGAAAACTACCATCATAATTATTTATGATGATTCCACAATAAGCCGAGTCCAGTGGGTATGAGATATCTGTTGTAGCTTTGCAAATGTGTTCGTATAATTTTTTTATTGCATGCATTTCCAACTCTCCTTAAGTCATCACAATGAACTTGTACTGGAGAGAGTTTACTATTAGTTTATTTTGCAATTAAAAAATCCAATTCACTCTATAAGTTGCTTAAGCCTACAATAAAGTATAATGAGAACTCAAGCGTTACCTGATTATTTATTTGTGAATCTGTTGTGCCGTGCATATTCGAACTTCAAAAAAAAAATATATATATATATATATGTATATATATGAAAAGTAGCCACAGAAAACTTACACAGTCCACTTGTTTGAATTATGGCTTTACATGGTTTCAAATGTAAAATCTTATACACATGTACAAATACATACATACACACATACATATCTACATATGCACATCCATATGAGCCGTAGCAATCGAGTGTTCATTAGTTTGCAAAGTTCTGTTGGACTTGTTTTTGTTTACTTTATATTCTCAGTGCACAAACAAATATACTCACCATGCATTTATTTGCAGATATATACATATGTATGTATGTAAATACTAAACTGCATATCTCTACATATGAATGGTTGTGTATTTACTTATATACATATGAATGTGTGTAAATGCACATATATTAATTATTCGATTTTAAAGCTTTTGTTCCACTCCTTACACTTGTTTTTATTGCTATAGTTGCACTTGTAAATGTTTTCATTCGAATAAAATCTCCTGTTTTTGCTGAATCGCCAATATTTTTTCGATTACAAACAGCAGAAACGAAAACAAAAGTAGTGGTGACAATGGTAGTAACTGAACCCATCGTTTGTCTTAATGTAATGTACATCACTTGTGATTGATTCCATCACCGTTGCAACCTTTTATAAACCAACCCACCCCCAAAAAATCGGCAATATTTGAACTACTAAGCAGTAAGCCTAAGACCATCAAGGGTTACATCAAGCTAAAAACAAAAAAAATTGAGAACGAAAGCTTTAATTTTTCGAGTAAACTTAAATAACAAAACGATTTCCATATCATAATATTTGAATACTACGTAAACGATTTTTTATCATCAGCAAATGCTAAATTTATCTTCCTGTTTGGCAAGAAAAGTAATTTTGCTACATAATTCTCTCGATATACTTGTCAAAAATTATTTATATTTTTCCGGAAATCACTGCACTTCGGCTCCACTTATCCACCAGCACCACCTTCAGTGCAGTAGTAACAGCTGTTTAACATTCACATACGTCATTGCATTTGTTTCATTTATTTACAAACATATCTGTTGTAATATGTATGTATATGCATATGTACATACACATGCTCTTTTATACATACTCACTTGGATTATTTTTCAAAATACATTCAATGCTATTGTCGGCGCGTCGTCTGCTGAAATCAGAAAAAAGTGTGTTTCTTGTGTACGCCATAATTTTCTTATTTGCACATAATACATAAACCTATATAACAATATAACAATCAATGAACAATCTAACCTTTAACCCCTTTTTCGTTTTATATACTACAGGGCCGCTGAAATGTCATTGTGATATATGCAAGGACACAAATTTCATATGCGAAACGGATGGCTATTGCTTTACGTCGGTTGTAAAGGATGAAGACAAAATCATATTTAGTTACAGGTAATTCTTTGCGTTTTTCCAATACTAAAATTTTAAAAAATTACGTAAATGTGTATGTACATACATACATAAGAATAGAAATTTATAATTTTTTTTATTATACGTATTTTTTATTTGAACTACATATATTGATTGGCTAACTAGACTCTGTTTTCTATGAGCATATGATTTTTATATTGGCGCGTCTAAATGACATCCCCTTTTCACTTTACATTCGCGCGTATCGTTCAGGTGCCTTACCATGTCTGAGAGTTTTCCGCCTGGTCGTTTTATTTGGTGCAATGATGACAGTCGTGGTGGGCCTACAGCGCGTCCGGCCGCGCCACGCGGCGGACATGGCTGCTGTAAAGATCGTGATTTTTGCAATTTAAACTTACGACCCATTATAAAATATTATCCCCCGAATTCGCAGCAGACTTTTGAAGGTGCGCAAAATGTGGAAAATCAAAAAAAAGTTCAATACCCAAGAAAAAGCTGTTCAAGCGTTGTTAGTGTAAAATGAGGAGAGCAGCAAATTCAGTTTTTGTTTTTTGGAATATTTGAAATTTATCTATTCAAAGGTACTAAAAAGTAGCAGAAATAACTTTCGGCATTATTTATACATTAACAATTTTATTAATTTATTAATGTACAACTCAGTAGAGAAATTCCTCCTGAAATCGTCTATAAAAACCAAATTTTCATTTTGTTTTAACATTTGCAAAGCAAATGAATTAAAGTTTGAATTGATCACATTTTTTAGCTTAAAACATTGGATTTAAAAGGCGAGTGTTTCGGTGTTAAGGGAAGTAAAATTTTCAGCGACTTAATTGAGAATTTTCGCGTTATTTTTAGCACTTTTATTTTAATTTAAATTTATATATCTGAGTTGCTGTTGCTGCTCTCCATACAAATCAAAAACTAATTTTTTTTATCGAAATTGAAACTCTTACTGGCTGCGCTGCTAATTTCACACATACATACATGCCTGATTTGTGATGTCCATTTCACCATATCCCCACAGAAACTTGTTATGTCCCGTTTTGCGAAAGTTATTTGCCCGCCCAAGCGCCCACTAAACAAGTAATTTTACGCAGCTGCGTTGAGCATCGTTTCTTGTTCTCTTTAAACAAAGTTTGACATCGTTTTCTGTTATTATTTTTCTGTTTGCACTCGCTCAAATACTAAAATGATTAAAAAATGCTATTTTATTTATCTCTTTAGTTTTTATGAATTTGAAAAGTTTTAACTAACCATGTTCTTACTGCTCGAAATTTTCTTTACTAAAAATGGAAAAAAAAAATTTTTTCTATTGTATTTACAAAGTTTATTGTTTACTACTAGCACTAATTGTTTATTTTCGATTTTCGAACAATGTTTTAATCCCTAAAAAAAAATGCAAAAAAAAAAAAAAAAAAAAAAAAAAAAAAAAAATATACAAAAAATATGCGTTTTGGTAACTGTGAAACGCACATATATGTATACATAGATGCCTAGAAAAGAAGTATGATCTGCAGCGTGAACCGCTCGAATGCCTGACAAGCCGTGAGAAAAAGAATGTCTATATAGTTAAGTGTTGTAGTGATGATTTCTGCAATAAAGACGAACTACTGAAATTGAGTTTTGGGACAGGTACGGCAAGGCTACATCCATACATACATACATAAGTTACTACCTAACCACCACACTTAATAGTTGATGATACTACATATATTAACTACTATTTATCGTTTTCAAGTATTACATACATATATCTAAGAGTAATACTCTAATCGGAATGCAAAACTACTCAAATACAATATTATCACAATTGTTTTTTAGAACGCTATTACACTCTACATACACTGTTACTTACTTTGCAACCTAATTAGAAGCGTTGGAAATGATTTATTAATTCAATACTATTACTTTGTTGACGGCTTTTCTTTTGCTAGAATGGTTATTATAACGTACCTTATTATATCTCTTATTTTTAACGCTGGTAATTTGGTCAGTTATTTTTAATATTTCACATTTTTTGTTTGTTTTATTCTCTAATTTTTAATTATTTTTTATTTTTACACTGCGCTTACAAATACAATACCAGCCTTGCGCAGTCACAAGCACACAAGCACACACACACTGATAAAAGCACAAGCACACAAGCACACAAGCACGCACGCCTGCACTCCTTTTTTGTTTTTTACTTCTTACGTTTTCCCTTTTGTTAAAAACGCCCAAAACATTAGTTTTTACTAAGTATTAGTTACAAAATAATCATTTGACTCGCAACAATTCCTACTCGCCCACACTGCTCTCTCTATGATCTTGCCTCTTTCGTTGCATTTTAAAAGCACAGTTTTATTCTACACCTAGTACACACACACGCAAACACCGACAACTCCAGTGCGCCTTGGAAAATTATATTTATGGGTTTGTGCTAACGGTTTTCTTGTATATAAATAGTCTATTTATTTAGTACTTACTTTTAGTTATTTATTTATATTTCTAGCTGTTTTACAGCAAACCACTTCACACACCAATACATATACATACATGCACACTTCAATGATGCTTAGAATGCAATACTTTTTTTTTTTTAAATAACTCTCTAATTCGCACTGTAGTTTTTTAAGGGAATGCAGTTTTTGCATGAGTCGTTCTGCATATAAATATTAGCAGCAATTTAAAATATACTTACAAATATAGTCAATAAATATATATAGGCATATGTATATATTTTAATAAAAAAAAAAAAAATCTCTTAAAAATATTTAACTTAACTGCATACCTTTGTTCTCCTCTTTTGGTTTGAATTAGTAGTGACTGATTAACTCTTGCGTTGTTATTTGTATTATATACATACATATTTTACATGAATTCTAATGTTTTCGGTTGTGGTTTTACATACGTAGATATTCGCCGTAAATAAGAAAAAAAAAATGTTTTCATATAAAAAATTTTCGTAGTCATATCTGAAAGCAAATCGAATTGTCTCTTAAAAAAATCATAAAAATTCTTTTAACCTCTTCAAAACGTAAGTACTGAAATACTTAGTATCTAGAATAAAACCGCTCGTAGGATAAAGATTTTATGATGACAAAATTTATAAATTTTTATGTTTCAAAACGCTACTATGTATCAGTTATAAGCTACTGGAGAAGCCACGTTCTTCTCTAATCTGCGTGAGGAAAATGTTTTTTTAAATGAATTTTGTTTTTGGCTTTAAAAATATAAAATGAAACATCATATTAGGACTACTTCTATACTTAAATCGAATCAATCTTCCTACAGTGCAAGGTAGCTAGAGCTTTCGAAATCCTTTTAAAGCTGTTTATAGTAGCTGTTGTAGCTCATATACGTGTATATCTAAACATTCGCTAGATTTTTAGCTCACTGAAAAATTGATGACTTTTTATCTGGGCTTTGGTAGCCGTAAAATTAATTCATTTAGATTTTTAGCTTGCTGGTGAAAAAAAAATACTTTAGCTAAGTTTACTCCTCAGCTTTCACATGACTTTTAAGCTTTTAAGCTTTTAAGCTGTAATGAAATTGGGAAAGATCAATAGGAGCTTTCACTTCATCTCATACTTTGTTTTTTGGTTTTGTAAAAAATGAGCTAAAACTTAAGTGCTCAGATAAAACCTTCAAATACTATGAAGTTCTTTCACTTGAGCTGCAGTATTTTGAAATATTTAGTTTTAAAACTTCTCTTTTGTTGCTGGAACAAGTGCCGAATTCAGAGGCAGTTTGGTTGACGTATTTCTTGCATGAAAGTCTTTATCTAAACTCGAGTTAATTGATCAAAGAGAAAGAGAGAAGGATAGAGAAAAGTGATTTCTCCAATATTACTCCAATATTGGTGTGTGTGTGCGCGTACATTTTTCGTGTGTATTTTGTTTGAATTCGCTACAGAATCGTAACCTCCAATATATGCTTGTTTAATGTTGAATGGAAAAAAGGCCACATATGACCGAAATGTGGCAATCTAAAATTTATACGGGCGCCGATTGAAGAAAAACCTACGATAAGAATAGGAGATAAGCAAATATGGATGTAGCTATGTATCGCTGGCCACTTCAGACCAACCGAACGCTCCCAGTTTCTGAGCTACTAGCAAGTGTGCTCCAAATAAATCGCCACCAACATCGAAAGCCCCTGCCGTCACTAGCAGCCAGCTAACCGCTATGCTCGCAACGCAAATCATTTATGTATTTACCTCAGGCGCATGCCACTCCCAGTCAACGCAGACGTCATACTGGTGGAGCATTAGCATCATTTTGGTGGGCGAAAACCCTCTCTTTAAAGTCAGAGCGTCGTTCAGCCCGTTTGTCAGTCAGTCAGCCAGTCAGTGAGTTTGCCAGCCTGCCAGGCATGCAGTCGTCGTGGTCTTGGCACTGTACTGTACTGTCTCCAAGGCTGTCTGATTTATGCTGGCGTGTCTGCTGCCGTCTCCCTGTGTGTTCGTTGTGCAACTGGCTGCATTCGTTCTTACTTACTGTTGCTACTGTTGTAGTTGTTGTTGATTTCTTTTGCTCGCCATCCTGGCGTACAGCGCGTATGCGTAACATTTTTAACATTGGGGTAGGCTCGGCACAACCGGTGTCTTTATTGATTTTTCTGCCTTGCTACGTATGAATGTTTGTGCACATTTGTAGAACGGCTCTACTTTTTCAGCATAATGCCTACATACGTTCATACATACACCGTCTACGTCTCTGCATTTGCGTATTTACATGTTTTATTTACCGGCATTTTGTTGTGCAAATTGAAATCGAAGTTGCCGACGGTGGACGTACATACATATGTACATGCAGATACATTGGTTCGCATGAATAGAAGTGGTGGCTCGCGCGCCGCTGCAGTTGCGAAAGTGAAATGCCCAGCAGAGTCTTGTGTACTAGAGCGAAGGGAAATAACCCACAAGAAATGCATCGTAGACCGTTATTTAAAATTATTAATGCTTTTTCCTACGTCCAACGAATTTTCAGTTATTTATGCTGTAGCCGCCGCCGCCGTATGTATGTAGTTGCTACTGTTTTTTTTTTATTTAGATCTAATATTATGGTCAAACACATAACATTGCCGCTCCTTTAGTTACCGCCACCCATTTATGCTGTGTTTAACAAACTAAAACTAAACCAAATAAAATTTACATATAAAAAAAAAAATGCACGGTTATTTTCTTATTAATTTAAAATGCCACCTTTGCACGTATCTATATGCCCCACGCCCACATTGCAACGTTCCATGCCACGGTCGCCTTCGCAACTACCCTGCAACTACCAACACAACTACTACCAACACTGCTATTACCAATCCAATCACCTCCTGGCAAAACCTATTACACCAATCGCTTTAGATGTTTGGGCTCAGAAAACAATATACCGCCTAATGATCCGGCCTGGTGCCATGAGGCTGCACCTACCTACGCCATGCAGTGTTGTGAGAATGATTTTTGCAATAC